AGAACAGCAAAGCCCATGATACCTTATTTCCATTTATTCACCAACAAGACAGAAATGGAGCTGTGGCTCAAGCGTAGAGTGCCATTCTTGAGTTAAAAAGGTAAGGGACAATGCCCAGACCCTGATTTGAAGTCCTAGTACTAGCACCAATACATTACAACAAAATAAAATGTGCATGACTACGATTTCAATATTCCTCCAGTATTTATATATAGATGAGAACAAATTTTAAGACCTTAGGAGACCAAGTGTTTCAGGTATCTCAGACATTGCAGCTTTGCTTGGTATTACTATTAATATTAAAACCAGTTATGTGTGATTCTAGTAATGTGTGATTATGTATTGTATATAATAATATTTTTATTATTAGAATCATAAAGTTGATTATCTTCTTTGGTATTTTATTTTTAGTTTATTTTTTTCATAATGCTATTATAAAGCAAATATGCACATAGAAGATAACTTAAAGGCTGGGAAGGTGGCTCAGTGGTAGAGTGCTTACCTTGCATGCATGAGGCCCTGAATTCGATTCCTCAGCACCACATAAGCAAAAAGAAAAAAGCCGGAAGAGGCGCTGTGGCTCAAGTGGTAGAGCACTAGCCTTGAGCTGAAGAGCTGAGGGACAGTGCCCAGGCCCAGAGTTCAGGCCCCACGACCGGATTCCCCTCCCCCAAAAGAAAATAAGAGATTTTTAATAGAAAAAATTATTATAGTATTCTGTTTGTATTTTGAAAAATGTAAAATTATATATTATTGACAGCTGCCATGGTTACTTTTCACTTAGGCAAATTATTCCAAGGAAGAGATACCTAGGACATATTTAGTTTATTTGTTCTAGTATATTAAATGTGAATTTATGCCTATAGATATTAAAACTTAAAAACATTTAAGTTGAATTCAATGGAAGAAACAATTCTCATAAAGTTTAAAATTTTTTAATAACTTGTTTTTGGTATTAGAAATAAATTCTCCATATTTACCAGCGTAAAATTAATCTCAGATAGCATTGTTTCCTATTTCCTGTTCAATATTTTCCTTCTGTAAGTGAAACTGTTCATCTTATTGAGTGAAGCTATTTGATGGAGGGAAAGGTTACAAAACAGAGATTCATTAAGTTGTGATGGATTCTTTTAATTTTCCAGTTGTTCAATCTTTAAAGCAATTATTTTAACTTGACTCTTCTCCTCCTTCCCTGCTAATAAAAGAGGCATTTCATAGAGATATGAATCCAGTGTTGGTTATTAAGCATGCTTACAGAAGAGATTTTTTAAATGTTATTTTAGAGCCATCATATTTATCATCATCAAAGTTTTTTTTTAATTTCTCCTTTACTTCCTGTCTGAAACTCTAGGACAAACACAAAGCAAGTTCATTATTCCTTTTAGCAAGTAATTTGATAGGAATATAAGTACAGTAAGTATATTTCATACATTTTTGTTTTTTTGTGGGTCATGGGGCTTGAACTCTGGGCTTATGCGCTGTCCCTGCACTCTTCAGCTCAAGGTGAGTGCTCTACCTCTTGAGCCATAACACCACTTCTGGTTTTCTAATGGTTTATTGGAAATAAGAGTCTCAAGGACTTTCCTGCCCAGGCTGGTTTTGAACCGCAATCCTCAGATCTCAGCCTCCTAAGTAGCTAAGATTACAGGTGTGAGCCACTGGCACCCAGCCATTTCATACATTTTAATCACAGCATTTCAAGCAAATTTCAAGAATTTTTAATAGAATAAATAGATTTTATAGAATAAGTAGGGTTCAATTCTTTTCTTGCATTTCAGCAAGTATCTCTTGTGCTGAAAAAGAATTGACTTGATTTATAATTATCTTACTATTAAGAAGCATATTATTGGGAGCTTACTAGATGCTGATCAAACTAAGTTCAGCCCTTGTCCTCAACGAACTTCCTATCTAATTGGAATATATGTCAATTTATTACAAATAATAAAGTAGGAATTAAATGACTTAATGTTAGACACACAGAAATATTTTCATTTTCTTATGAAGGAAGAAATACTAATCCACCAGATCACTAAGTGTTAGATAATCATCAAACAAATACGAATTCACTTTGTCTATTTTGATCACCTTTTCTGAGAAAATTGCTTTGACATTTATGTTACAGATACAATTATCTAGGTACAAATGCATATTTGACGTAAGACTGACTTGATGGTAGGCCAGGCCTGGAATTCTGCTTCTTATACCTACTCCCACTTATCCACCCACATATATTGGACAAGTGCCTGTTTAAACAGATGGGCCTTGGGCTGTGCTGTCTAAACAGCAAGCCTCTATATTTATTGAGCAAAATACTGGATGAAAATAGAGTATATTGTGTTATTGTGCCCCTGGGCATGGTACTTTGAGTAGAAGCTACTATTTATTATTGCCTTTGTTTGTTGTTGGGAATATTTTTTTTCATTATGAATGAATATGTGAAAATTGAAAGACAACAGATGGAGTCTTGGGGACATGGAAAACCCATAGACAAGAAAGCAGTTCTCTGTCAAATATGAAAATAAAAAATCAGCAGCTGTGGGAAATACCATGTGGTTTTATAAATGCATGGAGCTCAGATTTTTAGAAGTGTTTGGATTAGCCAAAGATACATGGGTTGACCAAAAAATTTCTCTCAATCACCAAAAGTTATGAGAACAATTAGAATTTTCAGTATCTGTCTTTAGGCTTCTGTATCAAGTTACCTGTTGAATCATCGGAAGGCTTAATTTGGGGGCATGTTAAGTTTGGGTTAAATATTAATGCATATTTTTATTATAAACTCTGAGAGATCTGGAGATTCAAGTAGTAGGGTGGCAGGTGATTTTATGACATCAGAGTTGAATTTTCTTTCTGATTGATTGGTGGCACTGCTGCTCTGCTCATTTCTTTGAAGAAAGCACTGAGCAGGGGACATGAGAAGCAATTAAAGAGCTCTGTAGTTTGAATATTACATGAGATCAGATTTGATGCTGTAATATTGACATATTGAAAAAAACTTCCAAGGGCATTTGCTCTCTATGCATTTTTATGATATTCTTTTAATGTTGTAATAATCAGCAAACTGTCATATATTTAACCTAATGGAGCCATGAATATGGGCATTTGTTCTTCAAATGATCCATTATTTATTTGATCGAATCATTAGCTCTGATATTTGCTCCTCTTAAATTATGGCAATACATGGCCCAAGGAAAGCACACAAAAATTTGAGTAAAAGACCTTCACTCCTTTTCCTTGATTTATTTACTTTTTTGTTAATTAACTTTATTCTGCAAAAATCGGAGATCTCTGTTACTACATACTTTGCAAATACTGCTGCAGGTTTCTCTTTATATAAATTATTGTAAAGATACTGTACAAGGGATTACAGTTACATGAGCAAGGTACTGAGTCCATTTCCTATCGAGTGTTGTTACTTCCCACTTTGTTTTTCCCCTACCATCCTTTCCTCCCCACCTCCTCAACTCCTCCTCCTTCATCCTCCCCCCTTAAAGTTGTAAAATTCATTTTCAACAAAGTGTCTTGTATATTTCATTGTTACAATGGGTCATCCTGTATCCTTATTTAGCATTTTGTTATTTCCCCTCCCCAAATTAGAAAAATGTATATATAAGATGCAGGACACCGGAATCAAATACAGTGACAACAGGGGTTATATCATGGGGAAAGAACATACAAAGAAACAAAAAAAAAATCACATAGTACATTATAAGTGCATTAACAAGAACAGAAAGAAAGATAAAATCTCTTGTGTCCTATCTTGGGGTTCATTTTGCTTAACATCAGCTTATATGGTCATATGTATATAGCTTTTTACTTCTTCTGCTTATCCTAGACTATACTGGTTATTGCTGCAGGATTTTCTAAGTGTCATAAAATAATATATACTGAGATACATAAGAATTTTGTGGAATAAAGCTCAGAAGAGTATATATTGAATTCCATTTTCTACTCATTTAAATAAATATCATATTGTTTAATACTTGCATGATAACATATTATCAAAAATTTGCCGTAGATTCTTCAGAAAATTTGATTTCTTAAATGAAGTCCAAATGGAATTTTCTTGTTCTTATAAGGATTCTATGAATATATGGGCTACATTTTGTATAAATAAGAATGTTTAGTACTGATTTCTTTGCCCCAAATAAAAAGACAATACAAAAAATAATAAACCTGTTACTATTTAAGCTTGAGTTATCTTATTGCAAAATATTTCAAGATAGTTTGATGGTATTTAATTTAGATTATCACTATATTTTTCTGTTATGTTCTTTGAAATCACAACATTACCTAAATAACATTTTTCTATCTCTACTGGATAAAATGGAACACTCAGAAGATTAAATTAGATATAGAGGGAGAATAAGAGAATCTCTCGTGTGCACACACACGCACGTGAGCACATGCAAACACACACAGAGTAAATTTTTCAGCCTCCATGTATTTGTATATTTCCTGTTTTCTCTTGTTATTAACTTCTAGTTTTATTCTATGTGATCTGACAAAATACAAAAAATCATTTCAATTGTATTGTGTTCATTAAGACGAGTAATATACTAAGAAGTCATTTATTTTGTAGAAAGTGAGATATTCTGTAACTATTGGGTGTAATATTCTATAGTTGTCTATTAAGTTCACTTAGTCTAATTCTGATTTTGTTGCTGTTTTTGATATCTTTTGTCTATATGTCCTCCTGTGTTGACTACAGTAAGGTATTAAAGGCACACACTATTTGTAAAAAAAAAAAAAAATCTCAATGCATCCTTAATTTTCTTAGAGCACAACATATGATAAAAGTACTGAAGGGAAAAGAAAAATAGTTAAATATCTTAATTTTCATGCTACCACAGATTGTAATAGAGACTGTCATTATATGAAAAGACATTTTTTCTGTATTTATATGAGATGCATAATCATTACTAGTTATTTTCTTTAACTATTCTTGCATTTCATATATTGTATAGATTACTCATTGTTTTTTCTTTTCTTTTAAACAGCAAATGCCAGTCTTCTTGGAGGAGGTGGTGGTAAGTCCTGACATTATTTAACTTAAATTACAGTTTTATTATACCATAAAATAATCAGGTTGAAGAAACTCATTCTTGTTGTGGCTATGAATTGCAAAAATAATTACATTCCAGGAAGTAGTTATGATAGAAAGATCTTCAGTTTGTCTAAATATTATTTTTCACTGCCTTAAAATACGTTCAATACTTTTTTTTTCTTGTCAAACTCTGTATCTGTATGATTGGCATAAGATGCAGGAGCTCTGATCTATTGAGTTGAACATATATTTGGTGGGTGATAGTCACTTCCAAAAGGAATTCTGAAAATACATTTGTGGGTTATGTTTTTCTTTCCATAACATTTTATAGCCAGAGCACTTAATATAGCACCTACTTATTTGCAAAATAAAGATTTTAATATTGACACTTTTGGGGGAGTGTGGCTTGAGCTGGAAGAGAACAGTGATCAAGGTGAGAAGGGAGATTTCTTTACTGTGAATCTTTCTAGTATAAATCGCATAACTAATTATATTGGCTTTGTAGGTTAGAAAGATGAATTTTTTCTTTTTGCCAGTCCTGCGGCTTGAACTCAGGGCCTGGGCACTGATTCTTGTGCTTCTTTTGAGCCATAGTACCACTTGCGGCTTTTTCTGTTTATGTGGTGCTGAGGAATGGAACCCAGGGTTTCATGAGTTCTACGCAAGCACTCTACCACTAAGCCACATCCCTAGACCAGACCAATGCATTTGTAGACCCTGGAATATATGGTAGGGGATTAAAAATTACATAATAAATAGGTTCTTTAAAAAAAGTACAAGGTCCTAATGGGTATGAATAAGTTTGGCCCATCATTACCTCTCTCTTTTCTTCTTTCCCTTACTGTCTTGTTCTTGTCTTCACTGTACACACACACACACACACACACACACACACACACACACACACACACACACACATCTCAAAGAAGGGGAACTGTGTAAAACTGTGCAGAACTGTGCAGAAGTTTTCATAACCTTAGGTTTTAGTGACATTATTATTTAGAAATTAGAATTTTAATCATTGCTTCTCTATACTATCAATTGATTTTTCAGTAGGATCTTGGGAGCAGGGATAATAGAAAGTTTAAACTAGAAATTGCTCTTTTTTTGCCGGGGGGGGGGGGGGGTTTGGTCGTGGAGCTTGAACTCTGGGCTTGGGCGCTGTCCCTGTGCTCATCAGCTTAAGGTGAGCGCTCTACCACTTGAGCCACAGCTCCATTTCCTAGAAATTTCTCTTCATAGTATCCTATGTTCTACAACAAAGGGTGAAGGATTTGAAGTCAGACTTGTGTGAGCATCAGGAAAAATTTACCTTGTATCCTCAACCCTTTCCTTTAAAAATGCAATTGCTATGCAATATTATATGGGGGATTAATAGATGTGTCTTTTCTTCTCTCTTAAATTATTTTATAAAATAACAAGCAAAATCTTCAAGATCTTTTATTAAAAAATAAGTAAAATCATGATTTTGCTTGTTGTCTCTTGTTTTTGTAGGAACTTAAAAGGAAATACTTCCTTTTGAAGGTGGATTTCAAGTAATTTTCCTCTCTAAGTTCCTCATAATTCACGAGGAAATTACTGTTAAAACAAATTGTCCATAGTGGTGATTTTCTTATAGGACAATATTAGTATTTTTAAGAAACCTGATTAATACTGTCACTGCCATAAAGGAAGGTTTAAATTGAGACTACATAGACACGTTAATCAAGTTATAAAAACAGACAAATTAAGCAAGACAATTAATTTATTGCTTTTGCTTATTTTTAAAATGTGACTTGACTAATTATGTTAGTTAAAAATCACTTAAGCCGCTTGTAATAAAAAATGTAGGCTAAAAGACATTAAAACATAATTGCGTAAAAGAAGTCTAGAGAGAGAGATCGGAATGATTGGTCATTAATTCTGTGGTGTCACCTGCTGCAGAGTTCTTACCATGGCACCCATCCATGGCATAATACTTTTACTTTTCTGTGATTCCCTCCTATTGTATGCCTTCTACCTTAGAGAATTATGAGGGCTGCTGGCACTCTAGCCATCAAGGATATAGTGCACGATAAGAAGAGTAGGAAAGGTGAAAAATTGTGGGTACCCCCTCTCTAAGGAGAGTCTGTTTTCCAGATTTCCCTGGAATACAAGAGTAACCTTGAACTTGAGCAAATATTTATTCCTGTCATAGTTTTTGTTTGTAGGAAGCAATATGCTCATTTAAAAAAAATAAAGGAGGGGGGGAGGCTGGGAAGGGATGTGAAGGGTAAACAAAGGAGGAGGCTGCAATGCTTAGTAAGAAATGTACTCATTATCTTGCCCATGTAATTGTAACCCCTCTGTACAGTATGTTCACAAAAAATTAAAATTAAAATTAAAAAAATAAAGGAAAGGAAAGGAGAAGTTGGTGTTATGTTCGCTAAGGAGAAAAGTGGGAATGAAGGCTGAGATACACAGCAGCCCTGATGCAGACCATGGTGATTGCTTTTAAGTGGCCCCCTGCTTTTTGTCTGTATATATGCATAGTTGGTGTATGCAGAACTGGTTCCAGTGACTGGGTTGATCTGTGTAGTTCTTCTATCCTATGTGAAGGGAGACATCATGAATTTTCAGCAATGGTAAAACCTTCAGAAGTAGGCCACTTTAGTTTTCCGTTATCTGAAGTATATAATTTATTGCCCTCCTCCAGATGGCTGATTTTGCTAGCTTTGCCATAATTTCTAATTCCTGAATTCTAAAATTAGTAATTTAGTCCCAACATGAAGATAAATTACAGGTATTTAAGATGGTTTGATTTCTCTCAGTAAAGTAAGTCATTGACAGGTTTAAATTCATTATATACTTCTAGAGTTGTTAAGAGTGTTCTGAAATACAAGCTTGGTTTTGGGAAAGCTACATTTAAAAATTAAATTTAAGGAATATTTTTATTTGTCTCTGCACCAGTTTTTTAAAATCATATGTATGTGTGTGTTTATTTTCATATATGCAGTATGGGCACTTGATTTTAGGACTTATGTACTCTACCAACTTGAGCCATGCACCTGATACTTTTTGCTTTATTTTATTTGTCAGCAAGGGCCTCATGCTTTTTCTTGGGGCTGGATCTGGGCTGCAATCCTCCTATTTCTACCTCCAGTATATCTATATTGCTATGTCTGATTTGTTGTTGAAATTGGGGTCTCCTTAAGTTTCTGCCCTGGGTTGGCCTCAAACTATGTTCTTCCCATCTATGCTTCACAAAGGGGAGATAGATATGTGCTTATAGGTATATGCTACCAAACTCAGAATTTTGAACTTTGGATTCTAGGACAAATCTTTCTAGTCCTGTCAGTGATTTTTACGAAATAACAAGAAATAATCATCCAATAAGGAGTGCTTAAATTCGTGCATTGCTCTTGGATTTAATCAACTTGTTCTATTGAATTAGATGAATATCACTTCAGGAATTCTACAGTGAATAATTCTATCATACAATTTGATCAAGAAAATTTGACACCACACACAAAAATAATAATTGAGCTTTAAGTGACATCTTCAGGTTCTCAGGGCTTTCTCTCAAGTTCTATATGTACTACCATACTTGATTGTGAAATCTGACAAAACCCTATATATAAAACTGTATGATACATAAAAATTTTCACTTCATTATTCTCTTTTGGGTGTTACTATGCCAAGAAGTGTCTGGAAAGAATGGTCACTACTGTAATCTAAGTTCTGATTCTGAAGCACAAGAATTACTTGACATTGGTGCAAATATTTTATCTTTGGAATACAGATCAATTGTGTGTGTGTGTGTGTGTGTGTGTGTGTGTGTGTGTGTGTGTGTGTGTGTGTGTGTGCAGTGATACAGGGCTTGAACTCAGGATTGTACACTCTCACGTTACTTTCTCATTCAAGATTGGCATCTATACTTGAGCCACACACACCTCCATTTCTGGCTTTTTGTTTGTTAATTGAAGATAAGAATCTCTTATTTTTGTTTGCCCAGGCTGGCTGTGCACCTGGATCATCAGATCTCAGCCTCCTGAGTAGCTCAGATTACAGGAATGAGCCACTAGCGCCCCATGAGGTCATGCATTCTATTACCTCAGTTTTTTAAAAAATATATTTATTCAGTTATTTATATTTGTATTTATCTAAGTTGGAATCTAAGCTTTTTTATTGTTACTGACTCTGATTTTGGTGCAGACCCATAAAACATTTTGAGCCTTTTATTCAAAGAAGACTATTTTCTATATACTTTTCTTTAATACTAACTACACATGTAGACTTTTCATATAGCTTGTTTCATATACATTCACATTGTTTTTCTAGTTCAGTGTTTTCTTTTTTTTTTTTTAATTGTGAAAATACCATACAGAGGGGTTACAATTACATGGGCAAGGTAATGAGTACATTTTTTATCAAGCATTGTTGCCTCCTCCTTTGTTTTCCTTTCCCATCTCTTCCCATCTCCCTCCTCACGTCACCCCCCTCTTTCCCCTTACCCACCCTCCGGCCAAAGTTGTAAAGTTCATTTTTTGACGTAATGTCTTGTACATCTCATTGTTGCAATGGGTCCACCTGTATCCCTATTACCTCAGTTTTATTGTTTGTAGTCTGCAGTAATAGACATGGTGGTGTGGTCCCATCCACTTAGTCATTCTGTTAAAATGCTTGAGAATGTTGGCAATTTGCCTACACTTCTTATATATGTTAAGGATAATCACAGACACATGCTAATTTCTTAAGGGTTTATACAGCTGATAATAAATGACTAAATTCTGGTTTCCAGGGACCTTTTAAAGTAATGATAGAGATCTTTGAAGTTCTAATAATTTTTATAAGCTTTCTAGTTTTACTACTAGAACTATCTTCATAGCTGTTCCGCATATTGAAAAAAATACATGCACTGGCAAATTCTCTTTTCTCATTTGTCTTTGTTAGTCAGAATAGGCTATATAATGTTATGACAACAAATAAAACAAAATAATATGCTATAAGAAAATATGATTCACA